ATTCTGTTTATTAATGGCTAATGTCGGAGAGCCCAGCCCACGATGGGTGGTGCCATCCCTGGGCAGGTGGTCCTGGTTGTTGTTAGAAAGCAAGTTGATAAAACCATAAAGAAGCATTTCTCCATGGTATGCTTCAGTTCCTGCCTCCAGATTCCTGCCTTGAGTTCCTGCCCCGACTTCCTTCAATGATGGAATGTGGTGTATAAGTGTAAGTGTAAACCCTTTCTTTCACAAGTTGCCTTTGGCCATCATCTTTTTTGTCACAGTAATAGAAACTCTAACCAAGACAATGGATATGTATATTACAGTCTCCCAGAGGCAGGGAGATACTACCATATTCCTGCAGAACACTTTGTAAGACTATGGCTCTACAGACCATTTTGTGAGAAAACACAATGAGCTCCACCAAGCCTGATGATCTTCATGGAGGTCAGTTCCTCTCAACTCTGCCATCCCCATAGGGAACATTTCCCTGGCTCAGGCTGTGGTAGCTTCTCTTGTCACTTGGTATACTGTTTGGGCAGCCTCCACTTACACGTGGGCTCTCAGAGATCATGCATTGTTTGCAATACCCTGATCTCCACCTCTAGACAGTCCTCACTGCCAAGTTCCAGTTTTACAACCAATCTCCCATACATCCTCCTGCAATCCCAGGCACACCCTAAGCTCAGCATATCCTGAACGGAACTCACCATCCTCCCCTCAAATCTGCTTTTTACCATTGCATCATATCTCCTGACCCACAATGAACCAAAGGGAAACCCTAAGGGCCATTTATGACTGTCTTACTTGAACCCCTTATTCAGCTATAGCCTGCTGAGTCTCACTTGCAATGTTCCCCATTGCCCACTGATATACTTCAGATGTCTTACTTGGACTGCCTGCTCCCACATCCATCTCCAGGCTTCCCTTCACAGTGATTGTTAGTAATTTTCAAACCATACCTGTGACCCCATCACTGCCTGGCACAAAACCTCTCTGTAGATTTTCTCTGTGGCTTCACAACCCTTCCTGACCCATGTATTTCTGGCCTCAGAGCCTCCTACATATCTCTAGCACGCTATCTCATGATAAAGGATCTGAGAAGTCCTTCTAAAGACATGGGACTCCCAGGATGACAGTCAGATACTTCCCGGATCCTGGGTAAGTGGCAAAAATTGGCTCATTTGTTTGTCGTCCCTGTCAGCCCTTCTCCAGAAAAGCCTTTGGTCTGCCAGTGCAATGATACTTCAGGACCACGGAGAGCGTCACAAGCTCAAACGCCCCCCCTCCCCTTTCCCGACCCCTTAGTTGGGTCCTGCCTACAAAGCCTTCCAGGCTAGCTTCTATAATTGGTCCTTCACAAATCCAGGACAGTCTTGACGTCCTCATAGAAGCCTTCCCTGACCCACCTGGATGACCAGTCTTTTCCTCCTTGGGGCTATTTTGTAACATTCATATTCCTCCATCATGCCAAACTCATTATTCTGATTATGTTTGTATGATTCCACCCCCAAAAGACATGAGCCTCAAGGGCTCATGCCCTGTCTGATTCATCTTCACTATCCAGTGCAGAGGAGGTGCTTAGAGAATGTTTGTTGATTGAATGAGCAAATGACATTTAGCAGGTGCAGGAAATATGTGTTGATTTGTATTGTATATCTGTTGCTCTGGGTGACTCAGAAACCAGCCAGATTTCAATCCTGCTGCCTGTAGAAAAGGCATTTTCTCCATAATGAACCTCCCTCCATCCTTGGAGCAGCTTTCCTTGCAGGTCACCACCCTAGCTGGGGAGAAGGCATCCCTACTCGACTCCTGCTGTTGCCACACCAGAGACTGGAGTGTCCCCATCCTCCAGCTTGGGGCCTGCCACATGAGTTTTACTCTGAACATTTCATCTCTGCTTCTCTCCTGCTCAGAACAGATGGCTCTGAATCCCTACTCATACAGAAGTTCCTGTTCCATCATTTGAACAGTTTTCTTCCCCCCTGAGACAGTTTTTCTGTGTAACCTTGACTGTCCTGGAACTTACTCTATAGACCAGACTGGTTCTACTCAGAGATTTGCCTCCCAAGTGCTGGGATTAAAGGTGTACATTACTATATACATGGCTCATTTGAACATGTTTAATACTTTCTAAATTATAGATGTTTCAATCACCTTTGGTCATGGCTTAAGCCCATCAGAAACAAAGAATCTCTGGAAGGACATTGAGTGATGCCTCTTCCTCATCCTGTGGAGAAGCCAGTGGCCTGCCCCAGATCATTGCGGTACATGCTGGTACTGTTTGAGTTTCTGTTTTCAACTTTTCATTGTTTTGGCATTGGGAATCAAACTTGGGGTCTGCTAGGAAAGCACCGAGCTTCACCCCTGTCCATTTGGTTTTTTGATGATCAGAAGTAATTCATTCCTCTTCCTAGCAATTTTCATGGATTCCTGGTCTTAATGGAGCTATGAATCAAGGCCCAGGCAGAGGATCCAAGCTAACCCAACTGACTTGTATGCCTAGAGCATTAAATCTTGAGTGAGTGGGAAAAGAATAGGGAAGAATGTCTGGAGCTCTGAAAAGTTAAAAGATGAGGTAAAAACTCTGGCTCTTAAACGTTCCTACCAATTCTGTGAGCTTTCCCTACAGGACCAATGAATCCTTTGCCTCCTTAAAGTAGTCAGTCCATCTCTGTCGCATGCATCTCCATAACCCAAACTACTGTGGCCACCCAGAGGAGCCAGTGCAAGTCCATCCTCTTGGCATTGGGGTAAATCTCAACTTAAACAAACACCAGTGCTTCTCATCAGACTCTCTGATATTACCTTTGTGAGCTTGCTACCTCAGTAGCTTGCCTAGACACAACAGGAAGTCACCCACTTAGGACTGGGACAGCCTGGTCAATGGCTAATTGTGAGGGAAAAAGCCAGGGTCAAAGTGCAGGAACCTAGACACATGCTCAACCCTCCAAACTGAAAGATGTAACCTACAGGGCAAGCTGACCTCATGGACACTCACATAGGCATAGACATAGGCATAGACATCTTCCTGCCAGGGTGTCTCCTGGAAGCTGAGTCATTCACACGTGAAGTGAGCAGGGTCAGGCTTGGGGACTCATCTTGCTGAATAGCATTTTCACTGCTGTTGACATTCCTAACAAACAAGTCCAGAGTGTCAATAACCAGGATTACCCAACAAGTGCCCTTCAGGCGACAAAGGTGTATTCTGTTTACTATTCGCCTCTACTCTGTATTGAAGCACTGGGGGCCCCTCACAGATTTGCACCTGTGACTTCATCTACTGGGACTAGTTCCCAACAGGGAGGAGGTAAGACCCGAGGGAAGCTGGGGCCTAGTGTGACTATAGATGAGGTATGGCCTTGTCCTACTAGGATCCCTCAGCCCCAGAACTCTGGTACTCCCCAAACTCATCCAAAAAAATAATATCCTGTAAATCTCTGACTGAGTGTTGTCTCATTGAGTCCTGGGAACTCAAGCTTCAGATTGTACTAGAAGATGTGACCCCATACTGGGGGTGAAAGCTACCGTGCTGTGGCAGGCAATTGAGGCCCCCATTCCCAGCCAATCCTGCCACATCTTCCCACTAGTGGTGTGCACTCCTCTCTGGCCACTCTACACCCTTCCATGACTCGTCATGTGCTTCCTGTCCCATACTCTCTACCCCAGTTCTGTTCCCTCTGCCTAGGGTTCCTTTCCTCCACATCTCTTGTCCTTACCAGTCCTAAAGCCACTTCTAGACTGTTTCTAAGCCATGTGACCCCTGTTTTTTTCATAGGAAGTATGTCTCCCTTGGATTAGCCCATGTATTTCCTGTCCTGCTTTGGGCTGTGAGGTCTGAGGAGAGGCTGGAGTCTGATTTATTGCCCCACACCTTAACTAATATCCATCAATGTTTGTAGACTTAGCACAAATGACATTTCTGTCCTCCCCCAGCCACTGGATTCTGCCTATTGTCTGGAAGCTGAGCTTCACAGAGGCATGGGTGCTTGGTTCTGACCCTAGAGCTAGCATGTGAGAATCACATGGGACCTGGGCTAGAAATCTGCATTTGGTGTCTCTCAAACAGAGCTGTGGAATCTACAGCCGAAAGTCAAGAGGTGACCCTGATCCTTCAGTCGGTGAGCACTGAGAACAGTGCGGCTGCCTCCTTCTCGGAGAGTCAAATTCTCTACACCAGTCCGTTTCCTTGGAGTTTCCAAGTGGTTGTTTCACTTAAGCTCCAGATGATGCCAACTCATGGAATGGGGGCTTTTGTCTGGAGGATGCCAACTCCAGAGGAAAGCTGAGCCTGGGGGCAGGTGTAGGCTGAGCTAGTGAACCTAGCACCAGGAGCCTAACACAGCCAACTAGGGACAAGGAGAAGCCTTAAGAGGCAGGATAGGAATGTGAGGGCAAGGAGCTGTGTTGAATGCTGGGCCACAGCTCTGCCCACAGATGCTGGGAGGCAGGCACAGCCTGGCACAGCAGAAATGGCAATGAGTGAGTGAGTGACTGCCTGGCTGGGCTCCGGGGGAGGGGACAGAAGCTGGGGTCAGAGGCGGAAAGAACATGCCTCCCTGCTGCTGCCCGCCTGGAAGCTGTTGATCTCTTGCTGTGCCCTGCTAAGCCCAGCTGCTCAGAACCCAGTGCCAAGCATGGGTCCCACAGAGTCAGCCCTCCCCATGGAAATGTTGGGGTCAAAGCATCGGCTGGAGAGGAGGATGTGTGAACAGTTATATGAGCTGCTCTGCAGTGTGGCTCCAAGGCAGCTGCCTCTGCAGTTTGCACGGGCTTGAGTGGGGTCACACACCCACACCAGCAGCCACAGGGAACCCACCTCCAAGACCACCTCTCAGTCAGAGGATGAATTCTCACAGAGGAGGCATGTCCCCCATGCCTTTGCCAACAGGAGAAGCTGATTCAGAGTGAGGGACTCATGGCAGAGACACCCAGACACCAAAGCCGAGCCACTTCTTCAGGGTCCCTGTTGTAGAGGCCACCGTGAATCCTAGACCTGGCCTGCCACCCCCATTTCCTGCAGAGGCTTCACAAGGCTATAAATAACAAGATGGGTCTAAGAATCCCTGAAATCCCAAAGCTTTTGCACTGGACATGTTTTAATAAGGGCCTGGCCTCCCTGCAGGGTGCAGACACAGGGCCCAGCCTCCCTGGAGGGTGGTGACAACTTAATCTAGCCAGCTTCTGGTCCCTGGCAGCTCGCTCTAGTAGGGAGTGAACAAGTGGCAAGTGTAGTTTAGCTGGGGTCCCTGAGTCACAGCCAGGATGGGGGGCTACTAGGGGGATATGGGTAGAATGGAGCCTGATCACTGCAAGATGGGCTCAGGGATCCTCTCCACTGCAGTGCTGGTGCTGGAGAGTAGGCCTTGGCTCTCCATGTTCCTGCCGGCTACATCCTTGCTGCCCAGAGTTCCTGTGAGAGGCAGAAGATGATCAGACAGCCCAAAGGAGGCAGAAGAAGCTTGGAGACCAGGCCTGGGGGCAATCTATTACAAATCCTTGAAGATCTGTTTGCATAAGTCCCAAACTAGACCCTTCACTGCCACCCCTGTGACACAGAGCATTCTGTGACCTCTCTGGTCCACTCTGGCACTGTGAGTTCTGTTCTCAATACAGGAAACCCAGGGATGCCCTCACAGAGCAGATCAAGCCTTTGGTAACCCGCCTCTGCAAACCCTGTAGGAGCTCTCATCTCACAGTGAAGGCCACAGTCCCTTGAAGGATTCCCTCTGATCTGCTTCTCTCATTCGTCTCGCTGTCCTCCTCACTCCTACCATAGTCACACTGGCCACCTTATCAGTCCTCAATACTTGAGGCACATTCCTACCATAGGACCCATGCACTTGCTGTCCTTGCCTCCTTGAGCCCCTCCCAACGGTAGCTGTTTGGCTCACCTCCCTTTGCCTCTTTGCTGTTACACTCCAATGTCAATGAGGAGCACATTATCCATCCTTGTCAATCCCTTTCCCTGTCTTTTGACTCTGTGGTACTTACATCAAACCTTTCCTCTCTCACTTCTTTTTCCCATTTCTGGTCTTTCTCTTGCCACTAGAGCATTAGCTCCATGAGGCCTCAGACTTGGCCTAATTCTGTCTCTCACCAGCATCCGCTACCTTGCATCGCACATGCCAGGGCCACAATACATTCTCTGGAATAAGCTATCTAGAAGCATAGGCAATTGCCAGTGTACCAGGCCCCGAAGTGTTCGACGTAGAGCCTGGCAGAATATGAAGGATGGGAATACCTTTGCCAGACTGCCTGGCCTGGGCCTGGTCTCTTTCCAGGTGCAGTGCAGTCAGTAGGAAGCAGCCACCACCCAGCACGACGGCGAAGGCACAGCACAGGAAGCTGTGCTGCAGGCTGAGGAAGCGCTGCAGATAGGAGTTTGGACGCCCAGACTGCAGGACACTGGAGATCTGCCAAGAAGAGAAGGATGTTTGTGAGGCCTACCAGGTGGCCCCAGGACCTTAGCAAGAACAGCAACCTTCCCAAGTCCCCAACCCCCAACCCGCACCCCAAACACACATTTAGACTCTTCTTACAAGTCCAGTGAGGTAGGGGCTGCCAGCATCTCCCAGGATGTGGGCCACTGTGATCTGGAGCGCCTCTGCTGTGCCCCGGCACCTAGGCACCACTACCGACTGCAAAACACAGGAATCCCAGAGGTAAGCCTCCAGCAAGGAAGAAAGGGCACTCCTCACCTGTTCCCACCTTCGCAGAGGGTAGCAGGCTAGACAAGTCAGAGGATGGATAGGAGGGAATCTTTGACTTCCAAGACCTGAGCCCCACTCCTAGACTCAGGCCCCCTGGGGCATCAGAGGCCTCTCCAGGACAGGAATAGTGTGTGTGGGGGAGCACAGCACTGAACAGAGGCACAGAGTTGACCACACAGTTGTGGCTGTGACCAAGCTGTGGTAGGGCAGTATCTCAGCTCAGGGCTCCATGCATCAGTGCAAGCAGGTGTGACCAGTGTGGGGCCATGGTGCCAGGAAGGCTCGCATACATGGCTCCATGCAAGAAGGTAAGGATATCAAGAATGGGACTCCTGGAGTCAGACAGTCTGGGGTCCACTCCCAATCCTTACCCATTAGCTGTGCATCTTTGGGCAAGTCGCTTCAGCTTTTCCTGTCTCCTCTCTAAATGAGATAATGATAGTGCCCACCTTGAAAGCTATGCTCAGTGTCATTCAGCTTATGCTCAGAGCCTGACATGAACATATCCTGCTAGCAGAATGCTCTGGGTATGTGTGCCTCCTGACTGGCAGGCCTCTTCCACTGGACCCACTAGAGAAGCACTATTTATTATCACTTAGGACTTACCCTTATTCACCTCCTCTATGAAGCCCTCTCAGGTTTGGGGGTCTGCCTTTACACACACACACACACACACACACACACACACACTCTCTCTCTCTCTCTCTCTCTCTCTCTACATAGCATCATAGTTAAATGAGTATATGCTCTCTAAAACTGGAGGGGTCCTTTCTTTGGCCATTTCCTTATGTCTCATATTGTATTCATAACAAAACCTATAATTTCTCCTGTGTCCCCGGAGTACCACAATACATAAGGAAAAGGGGGAGGGGTACTGAAAATCTGCTGACCAAATAAGACAAATAGAACATTCTGGAAGATTAGTCTCAGGAGAAAACTTGCTAGCTTAGAGCTACTCCACAGTATGACAGGCACAGAGGAAAATGCTGCTCTGGACTCTTGTCCCTAGGATCTCAGACCTCAGTGTCTATTATCTGAAAATAATAATAATAGCTAGCATTTAATGACTGCTTCCTGCATGTGTTTTTATATATCAATTCCAACAAGACATGAAGGTGATATGATTATTTCCTGCATTTTATAGATGGGGAAACCTTTGCAGAGCAAGTAATTAAATTGCCCAGAGTAGCCCAGCCAGGAAGTAATGGGCCCAGACTGGATGGCAGGCCTTCCCCTCCAGGTCTCCTGACCCTCTGCTGGTAGGGGTGGGGGTAGCTGGCCATTTCAGCCATGTTGTGTGTCATCACACAGCATTTAAAAGGTGACAGTAAGACTAAGAACACAGAATCAGGCCATGGTAGCTTACACCTTTAATCCTAACAGTCAGGAGGCACAGGCAGGTGGATCTCTATGAGTTGGAGGCCAGCCTGGTCTACAGCTATATAAGTGACTATATAAGTGAGACTCTGTCTCAAAAATAAATAAAAATAAATAAACAAATAAATAGAAGACAAGTTCCTTAGTGGTCTTGCATATGGGCAGGAGAATCAGTGTGTGACAGAGGGGTCAAAGGAAACATAGGAAGGAAGGAACCCCAAAATATGATTCTGGATTCCAGAACCCCACCAGACAGCAGACATAGGAGATTGGCTGGAGAGGGGCTTGTAGGAGGGCAGGACTGAGCTTGGAGTCACTGTGGGAAGTCAGATGGTTTAGGGGTTACTGGGGCCAAGGTTCCCTCCCCAGGTGGTTAGAGAAGCTGGGCTTCCTTCCATCTTCAGGACCTGCCGGCACTGGAGAAGGAACTGACCACAGCTCTGCACCTTCCCAGGACTTCCTTCTCACCCCATAACTATGTGATTAGTCACTGGTAGTACTGGGGAGTTGGCCCAGCTTCCTAAACAGAGGCCTCAAGTATCCACACAGTTCCATGTGGAGCTGGGGCTGCTCAGACCCTCAGAGTAAGACCCCAGCAAGCTCTATATCTTCTCAGTATACGGACATAGGTCCCAGCTCCTTGTTTCTTCTGGGTGCCCATTGCTTTCTAAAGAGCAGGCCTAACAGGGCCTGGCAAGCTGGGAGGTGAATAATTTTGAAAATGAGTGGCTTTTGGGTTTCCAACATTCCAGGTTCACTAGCTTCTAAGACAAGAAGAACACCTGTGTTTCGGCTCGCCCTTCTCAGAAAAGCAGTTCCCTTTATAGCCCAGGGCAAGAGTGGTACAGGCAGCCACCGCCTGGCAGAAAGCTGAAGAGACAATCACTGAGGACAGATTCCCTGGCAGCTTGCCTTCTGCACTCCCCAACTGAGCCCCTGTGACCAGACACTCCTGAATGGTGATACAGTCACTCCTCAAGCATCCCTCTGCTCTCAGCTGGGAGGAAGGGAGAGCTACTGAGGATCAGCCTTGGTGGGGCTCATGAAGCAGATTTAGAGACACACTATCTTGGTCTTTCAAGGAGAAAAGATCATCCAAGGCCCAACCAACCCAAGAGGAGATATGTAGGGAGTGTGTGTAGAAATTGGGCTCCCATGAGTATGGGTGAACTCGGACAGATAATGAGAAATTTGCAAGGCACCTACAGGCTGAAGAGACAACTACGCAAACCCAGAAGTCGTGCTGAAGACTACTGCGTCAGGCCTCTGTGAAAAGTCTGTTGGCAATGCAGTTCCTGTACCTACTCTCCACCCACCCAATCAGATGCCGAGAGCCCACGATCAGTGACAAGCTCCTCTAAGCTTGACTCAGACAGAAGGAAGTGTGGGAGCCATTGGAGCATGCAGCCCTTGAAGCCTCTGGTCTACAGGGAGCCTGGATTCTCCCTTGTGGAGAGAGCAGTGTCCTGAGGCAGGACTGGTGGGGATTGGATGCCACCTTCTCAGGAACACACAAGGCACAGGTTTTAGCTCATTGCTTCCTTACGGCCTGGAGCACAACCAGCAGGAACTACTCTCCATCTATTATAGCTTTGAGCCATCTGAGGCACAGACAGTTGGTGAAGATCTCTCAGCTAGTGAGTGGCAGACATGGGCATGAAACACAGTTTGCTAGAAGCTCCTGACACAGTTCTCCTGTTCATCCTCTCCCCTCTCCCCTGTCCTCAGGCTCCAGCTCCCCAGGGACCCACGGTCTGTCTTGCCCTGCTTTCCTATTAGACCCTCTTGGTTCTTTCTCAACTGGGAGCTCTCCATCTGAATAGCCCCCACTATAATACACAGTACTCTCACAGCACCTAAAAGAGAAGCTCGCCTTCCTGCTCAGGAGCAAGAGAAGGCCAGTAGAGGGGCCCTTCCTCTATTTCCTACACAACCTGTCCCCACATAACTCTTTCCCCTGCCCTGCTTCCTCCAAGGGACCTCACTCTCCACATTTGTCCCCTCCCTGTTGCTTGCCACTTGGCTTTCTGGCATCTTCTGCCATGTCTGCATATAGTACATGTGGTAGTTCGAATGTAATTGGCCCCCACAATCTCACAGGGAGTGGCACTATTAGGAAGTGCAGCTTTGTTGGAGGAGATATGTCACTGTGCGGGTGGGCTTTGAAATTCTTGTGCTCAGAATACCAGCCAGTGTGTCAGCTGACTTCTTAATGTCTGCATGATGTAGGCCTCTCAGCTTCAGCACCATGTTGGCCTGCTTGCTGCCATGCTCCCCGTCATGATGGTAATGGACTGAACCTCTGAAACTATAAGCAATCCACCCCCAATTAAATGGTTTATTTATGAGAGTTGCCACAGTCATGGTATCTCTTCACAGCAGTGAAAAACCTAACTAAGACAGTACTCCTGTAAACCTGCACCTGTCTACTGCACAAGGAGCCCCTTATAGGTCCTGAGACCATGCCCTCCTGAGCCCTGTCCCGCTTTTCTGCCAAGGAGCTAGAAACACAGGAGATGAAAAGGCTGGACTCACAACCCAAGCTCCTGTCTAGTCAGAAAGATCATTGCTGGCTACTGGGCTTTGCTGACTACTGGACTTAGGGCAGGGGAGAGTCAGGGAAGACAGCATGGAGCTGGCTAAAGCAGAAGCCTCTAAGCCATGAAGAGCTCAGAGAGTTGTTGGCTGGGCTGCATGTGGTCAGTCAGCTCCCCCACAGTCCAAATACTAGCTGGACCCCAGAACCACCATCTACTTCCTTCACAGCTATGGACATTTTCCTCTTTAACACTGCAAAGTGCCTGGCCCTGGCAGGTTAATGATTCCAGCAGACACAGACATAGGGATGCCCTGTGGCCTTCACATATCTTCGGGGCTGTCACATGGAAAAGAGATCACAGTGGGGGGCAAGTGAAGGAAGCTGTTGGGGGGCAGATTCAGCACTGCTTGAACGCCTGAGAGAGGATGAGCTATGCAGAGGGTGGGTATTCCCCTAGGCTGTCTCATTTACCCCACTAGGCAGTTAATGATTAGAGGTTTTTATAGGCAAGGAAACTGAGTCCCAGGGCCATTTGCCAGGTCTGTGGCTGAATCTGGGCTGGAGCCCAGGTCTCTGGTGCAGAGGGGAGGGCAAGAAGACAGGCTATCTCAGCAGCTGATATGCTCGCTACAGCCAAAGGCGGATGAGCCTGGGCTACATCAGGCAGTGAGCATCCTGTTAACTTAGTGTTCAAGCAGGCCCTGTTGTCTGATTAAATGACACATATGCCCGATGTCTTCCAAATTCAGAATCTAGGACTCCAAGACATCTTTGGACAATAGAAGAACCATGGAAATCTCAGGGTCACATGAGAATTCTACCCATAATCCCTGTGCCAGAAACTAGGCTAAACTTTCTGTAAGTCACCCCCTCTCCCATGATCACAACAACGGTACTACCATTCCATCCCCATTTTCCTTACGTGGAAACTGAAGCTCAGAGATACAAAGCAACCTGCCTAAAGTCACACAGCTAGTGAGTGAGGGGCAGAAGCAGGGCTGAAGGCAAGGTCTGTAACCAAACAGCTTTCTACTTATGGCCTGAACAACCAGAACCCTACACCCAAGTGCATGACTGTGCCAGTCTGCCAGGAGGCAGCAGGAGGACACTGAGGGTGTTCCTAGACCTAGGAACCTTGTTGTCAACCAGGGTTCAGACTTTCACAATGTCCAAAGTCCTTGTGCTTCTTCAGAGTAGGCAGAAAGGCTGAACACAGGGTAGAGCTGAAGAAGGATCAGGCTGGATTCTGGACACCAAAGCCATAGGTCTCACCACAGCCCACCCAGCCCTTTGTGTGATCCATGAGGTGGGATGTGCTGAAACCACTAGGGTTTAGTGGTTAGTGCTCCTAAGTCCAGCATCCTTCTCTGTGGCCCTAGAGTGCGCTTGCTGAGAAGTAGCATGATGAAGAAGGAAAGAAATCCTGTGTGTCAGCCCTAGCTCAGAGCCTTGACACTGTGTGACCTTGGTCTAGGCACCTGCCCTCTCTGTTCATGTGCAGAATAGAAATGACAGAGGAAACGTTTGAGTGTTCAAAAGGGGGCACTTTGTCTATGGAAACTGTGAAGTGCCCTTAACCCCTTGACCCATGGGCCCCTGAAGTCCTTCCCAATACCCAGGCTACTCAAAAGTGCCAGGACCAAATTGCAACCCATACCTACCAACAGGATATCAGCAACCACTGCCCAGTTGCAAGACAGAAGGAGCTCCCCGAGGGCCAGGAACACCTGTGGGCAGAGGATGTCCTGCATGAGACTGCCCCCACCTCAGGCACCCACCCCTCCCAAGTCTCTCCTCAGCTGTGCAGAAGGGAAACTGAGGCTCCCCGGAGGAAGGCATAGGTGGGAGGAGTCTGGAACAGCAGACCCCAGGACACACAGGCAGGTTGCCATTGAGAGCCCCAAGATGAGTGCCAGGCTCCAGGTCTGACAACCCTAGTTCATGGCCCACAAGACCCAGCCCTTGAAGCCCCCAAAAGAGGAGGCAACAGCTGCTGAAGCATTTCCAAATGTGCAGACTCAGGACAAGAAGGCCAGGTCTCAGCTTGCCCACCCTCTGTTTTCTCCTGAGAACTGCATACACCAGTAAGGCCCTGTGAACCTCTCCAATGGCTTCTCCTAGGCACCTTCCTCAGACTCCCCACCCCACAGAGCTAGCCTTAGCACAGCCATTGTGTAGACAAAGCTAATTCCTATTCAAGGCCAAGGTTTTTCTCAGGTCATAGCTGGCCTAGGTAGGGAAAACCCAACCTGAAACACAAGGCTTCAGGCTCCTGTCCAGTGCCCACCCCCTGCTTTGGTCCCTGTATTCTCTGCTGCTGGCCTGTCTCACCCAGCTTTCTGAACTGAGCTACCTCGTGCCAGAGGATTAGGACAATCCTCATTCCCCTCACTCAAGAAAAGCTTAATGAAGCAACTGAAGAAAGAGGAGGAAAGGCTCACTTCTCCCAGCTCCAGAGAGCTTATGCCAGGGTGGAATTAGTCATTCCTGGAGTCACGGGTTATGCCCAAAGCAGCACAGGCTTGGGAACTCAATGGCTTGATTTCCCAAAGGCGAAGAAATGAAAAACCACCACCCGAAAGGGCACCTACTATATGCCAGAGTTCACCACTCCATCAACCCTCTCAGGACAGGTAATTTGATAAGGTTATCATCACACCCATGTCACAGATCAGGGCACCCAGCCCCAAAGGCCACTTTCCAGAGGGACCTTCTCCTCTGTGTCTGGCTTGTCCATGGTGAGATTGGGAAGGCCTTTGGCCTAAATGAACTCCCAGGGGCCTCCAATGGCTGCCATGCCTTTAAAGACTGGTGGGAGGAATCTGATGGAGAGGGAACCCTGGGCAAGGGTGACCCTGACAGATACTGGGGCAGTCAGGATGGGCTAGAAAGAACGTCAGGAACCCAGGAGGCAAAAGCCCTACAAACAATACCTGGCAGACAACCCTTGTGAGTAGAGACAAGAGGCTGGAATGTGCCACCACACTGGGTGGAGCAGGAGAATAACCTGGACTGGTAAAGGAAGAGTAGAACAGAGACTAAGCGGCTCTTGTGATCTCTCCTCCCAACCCAGCTGCCTGTGGCTGCTGCTTTTGGCCTTGGTACCCAAACTGGGAGGCCCTTGAGGTCAGGGTGGGTCTCCTTCTAGACTTAGGACAAAGTCTGAGCACCCACAGTAGTGGGAAGCAGGAAGTCACTGGTGGGCAGGACTCGGGTGAGGCCCAGCCAGCCACAGCCCTGCATTCCATCTTGGCAGGGCCTGTCAACCCAGATTATGGACCACATGAAAGCCTGGCCCAGTGCACCTGTCCTCCCCACAGGGTCCTGTCATCAATCCACCTTTACCTGAGCCAGAAGCCTCTCCTCTCCACGTACTTCAGTCAGCCTGTCTCAGTCCTCTCTTCCTCCCACTGCCAGGGGGCAAGCTCTTCTGTGTGGTATCACCCCTGCCCTCTCCACACCCACAGGACATGCTGAAATATACCTTTTCCTTCTTCCAGCTGGACTAGGGTGGATCCTGGTCCCAAAATAGAGCCCCTTAGAGGGAGGCTGCAGCCACAATGGGGCCTTTCAAGATGAACAAGCTGCCTAGGGGTGCCAGGTTTCCTCAAACACACCTGGAAGCAGGCACCATGCCACCAAATCCATCACTCCACTTGTGGCTTTGAGGGGCAGAGGGCCAGTGGAGAGAGTCTGCCTTCTAATCTCATAATTACAGAGGCTCTTGAGGTAGTGGAAGTTTAACCTTCTGGGCTTGAGGAGTGGCATTGTCACAAAAGGTGGGCCACCTGCTGGGAGACCTTGGGAAGGTCCCCCACACCCACCTTTGAGCCTTGATTTCCCTCACTGCACAGTGGTGTGGGAGAGCCTACATAGGCACCAACATACTGTGCTTCTGCAGCTAGAACCTGGTTACACACCCTTGTGGTCCCCATAGGCAGGGTATAAATCCAGTCTTCATTCAATTACTTCCATGATAGAGTCAGACTTAGCTTCAAATAAAAAATATGCAAACAGAGCCAGCCACGGTGGTGTATGCCTGTAACCTCAGCACATATCTGCAACCTCAGCCATGATGGTGTATGCCTGTAACCTCAACCACGGTGGTGTATGCCTGTAAATTCAGCACATATGACCTCAGCCATGGTAACACATAAATGCAATTTCAGCCATGGGGGTATGCATGCTTGTAACCTCAGCACATTTTCCAGGCCAGCCTGGGCTATGTAGTAATATCATACATACATACATACATACATACATACATACATACATATCAAAAGAAAAGAAGAAGCAGTGAGATGACTCAGCAAGTAACACACTTGCTATCAGTCTTAAGGATCACGGCTTGGAAACTGGGCTCCACGTGATAAAAGAATAAAATTGACTTGTATTGTGGTACACATACATGACATGTGTGTGCAAGTGTGCACGAGCACACATACACACACACACACACACACACACACACACCACCACCACCACCACATATAGTAAATAAATAAATAAATAAATAAATAAATATTTTTGTTTTTTAAAGTTTCCAGTTTTGAAGAATTTGGTCAGATGTTCATTTCTCAGGTTCAAGTCCCTCTTAGATAGTCACATGCACCTCATACTGACGTGTCCCTAACTCGTTCCCCTTCAGTCTCTCCCCATCACTGTTCCTGCCCAGTGTGGTTCATCCAGCCAGGATGCAGGCACAGGCCAGCTGCCAGCAGCTGCCAAGATGCTTCCCCTTAGGTTCAGGGCAGCAGATGGATCCCAATGCCTGCTGAGCCTGCTTGACTCTTCATTATGCATCCTAGATGCTCCCTCAGTGATGATGGCTTGATCCAGGCATCTCCAGTTTCTTAGGCCCTATCATCTCCCTCAATACCCACCCAGAGGGGACTTCCAGAGGGGAAATCTGATTCTGCCTTTGACTCCTCCTCAATGCCTGGTGGCTTCCCTGTTCCCTGACTTAGTTCCTGATGGGCATGAGGGCCTAGGAACACTGCCTGAGGCCTGAGAAATGGACTGTGCTGGAGAGCCCCTGACCTCTGACATTTCATCCTCGAGCTGGGCCAGTGACAACTGATATGTTTGGCTTTAATCATTCTAGCCAGAGAAGCTTGCACACACACCACCCATGTTCACATTGTCACTCACCCCCACACCACATATGCCTGTAGCAACATAAACATACAGAGATTCCTGCACATACAACTACATGTATGCAAGGCCACATACATGTTCATGTAAGCTTCAATACCCATGCACACACAGTCAAAACCTGAGATACACACTCACATGTCAATATATACACATATGCAGGTAACAGAGGAGATATGCAGAATATCAAAAACAGGTATGGTACCAGGTATGGAATGATCCCTGTGAGTTCCAGCTACTTGGGAGACTGAGACAGGTAACAACTTGAGTCCAAGAGTTTGGGCTAGTCTGGGCAACATGATAAGACATTCACTCAGAAACAAAAAACAAACTACACAACAAATGCATGAATTAGTACTGGTCTTAATACAGTTACAGGCTGAGCACCAGTTGAGGAGCAGCCTACCATGCACACACACAACACTGTATGTAACACACACACACACACACAAACTTTACACATTCATGCACACTACACACACTCATGCCTTCACATATTCACAACTCTCATCACACATACACACAAAGGTAGGTACAAACACAGACAGGAAGATGAAGGGTCAGGGACAGTCCCCCAGGGTCTGTGTTTTCAACCTGAGTCCATCTCAGCCTCCAAACTAGGCAGATACTGGTCTCTGAAGAATGGATTCTAAGACGCACTGAGAAGGGAAAAGGCCACGGTCCCCTCTGAACTCATGGTACCTATGAGAAACTAAGCAAACCTCCCCCATTTATGCAGCAATGGTTGAGTCATCCAGGACAAAGACCCAGACTACAGCCTGGCCGCCAGCAAGCTGCCATGTGGCTGGCATGCTCTACCCATAGTCATGCCAATCTGAAATGGCAGGGACACAAAGCCACTGACTGGTCTCTAGAGGCCAGCAACCACCCAACAACCTGCTAGGCTGGCAACTGGAAAGCGTGGCAGTAAGCTCTGGAGTCCTCGTGGGGAACATGTCAGGGTGTGAACTTTCCTGATGGGCTGTGCTGCCATGCGAGGAGAGACACCTGTAGGATCCTAACAAGATGGTGGGGCTCTTTAATCCCCACTGAGACAGGCCTGAGTGTGGGATGCTGGTTACTCAAACCCAAAGAACAGAAGGCAAAGGGGCTTCTCCCAGAAGTCCTCAAAGGCAGTATTGGGAAGTGGAAGGAGAATTCTGAAGATCTGAGGCGCCACTGTTGGCACTACCCTAGGAGCCGTCCCTCAGATGACCCGAGACCACAACTCCAACAGACACACATCTTCCTCAGGAGTCCTCAAAGCTGAGAAGGACAGCCACCTCAGACGATGTTAAGTGCCACAGGCATGCCCACACTGGCTCTGCTCCTCTCTACTTTGAGTAGGGAGCAAATCCAATGTCCTGATCAAGTTTGGATCGGAAAGGGCCTTAGAGGTCACCTGGGGCAGCTCTCGGGTAAAGGCTATGGCCAAGCTTGCATCATAGACTTTTCTCCAGAAGCCAAAAGTGGCAAGGCAGGAGAAAGTGTTTTTCAGCAGAGACAAGAACAAAATGTAATGAAATAAACATTAAGTACTGTCAGGCAAGCAGAAAGGCAGATGATTCGGCTG